GATCATGGGTAGCACGTACTAGCACCCTAACGACGGGCAACGCCCTGCAATGACGACCTGATGATGATGATGACGACGATGATGAGCAGCTGCTCCCTATGAGACGAAATTCGCCAACAAACATCCTATGATGACAAACTGCTGCAGGTGCCGATGATACTAGTTACGAGCCAGTGCCCTATGCTGACAACCAGCGCTCTACAATGGCAAACTTACCTTGTTGATGATGATAGTGACGAGCAGCGCCCCTGATGCACGGCTCCCCGATAATGATGATAATACTAACAGCAGCGCCCTTGGTGAGGAGCACATGTGGCTGATGCCGAACAGCGCCCTCCTGAATATGAAGACCTACGCCTTGATGATGATGACGAGCAGTGCCCTGATGAAAATGATGATGATGATGATGATGATGAAGAGAAGAAGCACCCTGATGATAATGACGACCCATTACCATGGTGATGATGCCGAACCTCACCCTGTTGATGAAGATGATGGTGATGATCAGCGCCCTCAGGCTGTTGCTGATGACGAGCAGCGCCCTGATTATGCTGACACACCCACTTCCATATGATGGCAGACGCCACTGCACTTGCACTTCAGTTTACCGAGGGCCTACTCCACTGTACTCCACAGGCGTCGACATAGCCAACGCCTCTCAGGCCATATGCCATATGCAACAACGCAGTGGCAAGGAGTGAAACGTGGAAATCCCAGAAAGCAAACAATAGTTAAGACTGTCTACCACGTCAGCCTGTGACGTGGCGTGGTCAAGCGCCCTTCGATCACCTGCATGTGAGCTAAGCACCACTTTTTCAGAAAAGATGGCCTCCAGCGCCACCGCGTGCCGTCCTTATGGCCCACCTGTGTGATACCGCATCACAGGACGGGGGGCAGTGCTCACGGTAGCGCCTGCGCACCGCCAGCTCCGTCGTTTTTTCGTTTTCCAAATTGTTCATATGCCTTGCTACCCGGATGGCTGAAATTATGCTTATGCCCAGCACAGCCGTTGGGCCACAATGGTCTACTTGGTGGTCATGAGCATAATTTCGTGCTCTGAATCCAGGGCCCGCGGGATTGGGTACACCTGCATTTCGCACACTGTCAGGGGAAAAGCTGGCTACTATGCACAGTTGACCAACACACACGGAGCGGAAGCCACAGACCCTATGGTGTTAAAAGACCTGGTGATAAGTGGGGCCAAATTGAGAGTCCGAACCCAGAGGGACGAAAAAGTTGGACTCAGACAAAAGCAGTACAAACTTTTGGGCCCCGGGGTTAGAACCCAGCGGGACCAAATCGACTGTCAGAAACTAGGGGGACCAAATCGACTGTCAAAAACTAGGGGGACCAAATCGAGTGCCGAAAACCAGGACGATCAAAAGTTAAACACAGCTCGTCGCAGGACTCAGAGCTGGGTAAAAGTGGTACAAACTTTTGATCCCCTTGGGTTCGAAACCAGGGGGACCAAATTGAGTGTCGGAAACCAGGGGGAGCAAATCGAGTGTCGAAAACCAGGAGGATCAAAAGTTAGAAAAAGTGGTACAAACTTTTGATCCCCTTGGGTTCGAAATCAGGGGGATCAAATTGAGTGTCGGAAACCAGGAGAAACAAAAGTTTTGTTAAACCACCAGTACTTGGCCCATACATGGGCCGCGGGCCTTTGACGTTAACGCGCCGCAGTTTTCGGGGGGTTCGGGGAAGGCCCGGCGGTGCGATAGAGGAGGGCATGCGTGGGCCCACAGAATCGGGGGAAATGGACTGTAAGATGTACTGGTGCTGTGCTATGTGGAAACGAGCGGAGGCTGAAGGCGGCGAGGGGGCAAAGAGAAAAGAAAAGGAACCGGAACATGAGAGGGGAAAAAAAACACAGATCGTTCTTTTCCTTTCTGTTTCTTTCTTTCGGAAGAAAACTGGTTTGTCATGAGTGCCCGCCAGCCCATCCGATTTCAGGGCTTCCCTTGTGGGCACTATGACAGTGGATGAATCTGGATGCACTTGTGGGCACTATGACAGTGGATGAATCTGAGTGCAATCACATTCAGAGCTTGGTCTCTCTTTTCCCCTTTGTTTTCTTTTGTGTTTGTTTTTTTTTTTGTTTTTTTTTGGGAAGCAGTATCTCGGCTGTTTGTGCTTCTGCTCCCCGTGAGACAAGGGGAGCATTCAATGCTTGCCAACCATTCCAATTCCAGGGCTTCACTGCGACGTAACACTTTCCAGAATCCATCTGGCTGCACTTCGCAGCAGCAGTGGATGCATCTGAGGGCAATCAACCTTCAGAGCTTAGTACCTTTTTTTCCCCCTTTTTTTTCCTTTTCAAGATTCTCGGCTGTTTGTGCTTCTGCTCCCCGCGAGATCTGGCGACCATTCAACGAGATCTTTCCTGGCGGATCTGGCTGCCACTGGCATACACTGCCCAGGCCATTCTCATGTAGTACACGAGTGGAAACAAGAAAACTATCGCCTCTTTCCATTCCAGCTGCTGGCAGCAGGTCCAGAATAAGGGCGGTACCTGTGCCAAGCATCAAATGTCCCATGTTGGTTCCCGCCCCCTCCTGCCTCGGCAAAAATCGGCGCGCAGGGCATATTCAGGCTCCGCTTCAATAGCTGGGCCATGTACTGGTGGTTTAAACACGGCTCGTCTCAGGACTCAGATCTGGGTAAAAGTGGTACAAACTTTTGGTTCCGCGGGTTTCGAAATTGGAACCCAGGGGACCCAGCGTTCCTACCATGCGTACTGCCCACATGTCCCACTACACCACTTACAGCCAGAAGAGTGGTACAGTGGCACTTGACGAAATTGACGAAATCGAGGAAATTAGGATACGATCATTGGGTACAGTGGTACAGTGGTACAGTGGTACAGTGGCACTTGACGCCATTGGCTAAGTACCTTTTTTTTTTTTTTTTTTCCTCTCTCTTAAACACCCTGCTATCCCAGTCATCACCAATTGTAGCAAGCCCCATCTTAAGACATATACCCATAACCCTCTTCTCAGGGCATACAGACACACACACTAGGTAATTGTTGAACCTATATACCCCATCTTAAGATGGTAGCAAGCCCCATCTTAAGACATATACCCCAGTCTCTTATACACATCTAGATGTGTATAAGAGACAGTCTTAAGACATATCCCATAACACTCTTCTCAGGGCATACAGACACACACACTAGGTATTAATTATTGGATGTATATGTAGCGGTATTATAGCCGCTTTTCCGGGCCGGACAGGAAAGGATGCAGTTGACCGAATAAATTTTACGTCCACAGAAAAAGCCGTCCAGTAGGAAAAAGTCCTATTGTGAGTGTGCCCTCCAGTCGTTTGTAACGGTTTGCCTTTCGCTGCAGTCACTGTGATGAATGGAGAAAAGCCAGGGTAACGGCGGATGGGACGCTGCGCCAAGTTCCCACCACGTGCTGCTCCCCACGAAGAGATGGGAGAAGTGTTTCCCACTCCGCCCCCCCATCCTCCACCCCCACCGGAAAAAAAAAGAAAAGAAGTTTTGGCCGTCCATTAACCATATCTCAGTCTGGAGGGGGCATTTCGAAAATTTCCCCAAGAAAGAAAGAAAGAGGCAGGCAGGTGACCAGGCAGACAGGCAGAAGAAGAAGGGCAAGAAAGCAAAGCGCAAGGCAAAGTGAGAAGCTGAGCTGACGTGGCCAGGCAAGCAGCACGGCATGAAGGTGCGGCGAAAGCAGGCAGGCAACCAGGAGGGCACGCAGCAAAGCCGCCAGATACCTGGCCGTGGAATTCTGATTTGCACACATTATCACCAAGCAGTCTGGGATATCATTCGTAACAATTCCTTCAAAGCATTTTTTTCATTTTTTTATAACGCGGCACCTTGCGAATATGTTGTGCTGTATCTAAGGCTTTGAGTGACAAGTTTTCAAAGTGTTTAAAATGCGCTTGGACATACCTGGCACATAACCGGGTGCCAAGATGAGCGGCAAGTCGCCAAGGTCAGCAGACGGACAACTGGCAACGAAGCAAAGCGAGCAAGCAGAAGCGAAGCAATGATATTCAGATGAGAGAGGATGAACACTATGAAATCAAATTCGAAAAGCACAAGACAGGCAGGCAGGCAGAGTGGCACGGCAAGGACCAAGGCACTTGGAAGACGGTAAAGCAAAAAGAACAGCCGAGGCACGCAGAGCGGCAGGCGGCAAGGCAGCAAAACGTAAAAAGCACAAGGCAGGCAAGGAGGCGAGCAGATAGCCAAGGAGCGGGGCACATTTTACACACAGCAGAGCGCAATGCAGGACACGACACAAGGCTAGGAGATCGGCAAGGAACAAGGCAAATCGGCAATTCGAAGGCACAAAGCAGGCAGGTAGGTAAGTGGGAGGCAACGCAAGCCACAAGCCGGCAGCAAGGTACGGACCAATCGAAGTCGAAAGGGAGTGAGACGCCAAGGCAATCAGCTACAGTAGTAGGCAAACAAGGCAGGACAATCTGCAAGGCAATCGGACAAGCATACGACTCCTACAGCAAACATCAAAGCAGACAACCACACCACATGCAGGGTCCCACAGGTCACAGGTTCAAGCCCCCGACCATACCGAATGCAGTATCCCACAGATTACAGGTTCAGGCCCCTTTCGACAGCCAGGGGTTCACTTGCGGAGCAACCATCGGTCCGGCGCCGGACACACAGGCAGGCAGCATGGACAGAGTGGCCCTCCCGGTAGTGCAAAAGGCTCTCCCACTCAGCTCTTCCAACCTATTGGGCACATGTCAATCCGGCTCGCTGAACACATTCAATCAGGGAGCACAAGGGATGAAACACCACAGCAAACGCAGACTCAGAGCCAACAACCTGAAAAGCAACGATGAAAGAAAAGACCCAATAAATGGGACGCAAGTGGCGCATGGCCGTTCTTAGTTAGTGGAGTGATTTGTCTGGTTAATTCCCCCCCCCCCCACAACCCCCCCCCCGGCCTCCTCCAACAAACAAAAAAAAAAAAAAAGTGTTCGATAGATGGGGGAGATCAACGCAACTTCACATGGACAAAGAAAGGATTGGAGATTTGGGGTACCCCCTACTTCCCAGAAATTGCCAATTCCACTTGTCGGACCTTCTGGCGAAGTCACGGGTTCGAATCCCACGAGGGGATGGCATGTGCATCATCTGCAGAAAAGATTGTCCGCAACCAATTCTGTCAAAGACACATGCAGCCTCATCGTCGCAAACTCGTCAGGCAAATGAGGCGCTAAAAAATCTTCATACCGGATTGATGACAATTGCCCAATACTGCTCCCGATTAGGGGTCGTTGCATCATCGTGTCCCCATTTTTTCTGTGATCAAAGAAACGACTTATCAACTAGACGACAAAAACACGGAAACCTACAATCAGCTAAGGCACCTACAGATTGAAGGAGACAGTGGGCAACAGAGAGAATCGGTTTCCTCGTCGCCGCTCTCTCTCACTCGGTTAAACGACTACTCAAGGCAGCGAACCTGACAGGAGAAACAGCGTGATGACCACTGCGGTGACGACCATGGAGAAAAGGGCGACGAGTCCGACAACAGCAAATAACGAAAACCGCACATCGCTCGCTTACTCCTCGTAACCCATTCGTTCTGAGACAAATCTATTTTTCGCACAGAGGTCATTATTTCATCATCATCATTATTTTCCCGGCAGCGTAAATGAATTTGATCGCACACTTTACACTCTCCCTCGCCAACGGACACCTTCTGATAAGAAAAACTATGGGATTCGTCTTGTTGACTGTTCATTTTGCTTGACAATGTCTGATAGTTGACCTTCTCCAGTGTGAACCAACTCCAACTGAGCTTATCTGGCCATTGCGGCTGCGACTCTCCTCCTCCTGCTCCCTTGTGCAAGCCTGCCCTTCTTAAGCCCTTTGACAGGACCCCCCCCACACCACCCTCCCCTTCTTCTCCCATCATTCTTCCCCACCCCTAATCCAGACCGGACAATGAGTCCACTTGTGATCTGGTTCAGTCTTTCCTTCTGCTCTATCCTTCTCGACCAACCCGCCTTGCTTCCAACAGACCGCACGCCGACAGCCCCCCATTTCTTCGTCTTTTTCAATACCCTTGTCGAAGTAACAAGACGCCCACCCCCACTACCCGTCGACTGCAGTCTTTCTCCTCCTCGTTCTTGCGTAGCACTGCCTCCTCTTCCCCATTTGCGGCATCCATTCCTCTTCCCCCCTTCCTCCGGTATCCACCCACCCCTCTTCCTCTTTCTGCCCGTATCCTTATCCAACTCTCTACACTGACACTGTCCCACGGATCCAGGAGGTCCCGCTGAGTGAGGAGTACGGTCTCTTCCACTCTTGCTTCCAGATGCACCCCTCTTCCACCTCTTTCCTCTTGCCTTTGCCTCTTTACCATCGAGATCTAAACGCATCAAATCCCACCCCTCGGCGCCGTCCATCCCATGCCTCTCGCTTTTAAGCCCGCGGCTTACGGTACAAAGTACCCCTTCATCCGTTCCGACCCCCTGCTCCTCTCCACCCCGCCAGAAATCGTCTCCCACCAGCCCCCACCTCCTGTCAATACCCCTCAGACCAGAAACATTGGTTCGCCCTGCATACTCATTCCCTGATGTAGTCCATGCCCCTTCGTCACCATCCCTCGACGGTTGAGCACCATCATCTAACTCCGCGCGACTGAGAAATTGTGCATCCCACTCTTCTCGAACAGACATATATGAGGCGAGGGCCTCTTCATCGCCTTCATTAACAGCTCTTCTCCCGTCATTCTGGACGCCAGTAGCCATGGCCTTCTGTTGAGGGCCGTTGTTGTGCTCCAGAGGTTCCTTCGCTCGTTTTTTCTGCTTTTTCCTTGACTTTTTCTTCTTCTTCTGCTTCGTCAACGTGCTCTTTGTTCCCAAAGAGGGCACATTGTCCAAGTTATCATTCGAGCCAGGATACGACCCCTTGTCGTTGCAACTCGTAGCTCCATCTCCACCTGCATTTCCAGAGTTGGTGTAGTCTGGAGCCGCTCCCTTCTCGACGCATCCGTGGACAATTGTGTGTTCCTCGACACGCCAATTCTTCAGTGCAGGCAACCATCCCGTACACCCTCCAGCGAACAGCATATTGCCATCCTCCTGTCCCACGCCACCGTTACAATTGACAGCATCGTCGTCGTCATCATCATCATCATCATCATCATCATAGTCTATGTATTGGGTTGTGGTCTCATACCGTCCTCGCTTTCTCTTGTTTCCTCTATTCCCCAAGTCAGCTGTGAACATCCTATTCTTCCAATCCGGCACAGGATGAGAGATGGGTCTTCCCAAACATTCTCGGCTTTTGCTCAAATCCAGTATCTTCCCCAGCAGGCCTGCTCTGTCCCAAGCAGCATCCAAGGCTTCCCTGGCCCTTCCAAAAGCCCTCCGTACATCGTCAATTCTATATGCTGCCTTGCCGATATCTGTGTCCGGCGCTTGAGGATCTTCCACAGACAAGGCATCGGGTCTTCGCGAATCCAGCCATCCCCTCTCCTCCTTGGAGGCCTTCAGGCCTTTACCTCCCACTCTTGCACACACAACCTCCCTCTCGTAGTCGTGCTCCATCGTATACATAACAAAGAACCTTCTCAACAGGTTACCCATGTCTGCACCATCCGGGGATGACACTCCCATTAACCCCTCCTTCTGGACCAACCGGAGAGCCATCGCGAGCAGGCAATAACTACCTACGCCTCCTGTGAAAACCTCATTGAGGCTCCTCTGGCTAAGGAACACCTTAAGAATCAAACACAAAGGTTTTAACGCATAGCATTGACTCAGCTTCTCTCTCACAAACGGTACTACCTTCGGTCCGTTTGTCGCCCCGGAGGAGATATCCACAGAGAGGTTGCTGCCTTTCATCACGCACTTGATGATCGGCACCTTCGCCCGAGCGATCTTCCTTAGCTTAGCCACCAGCTGATTACGCCACAGCCGTTTTGCCAAAGGCAGCAACCATCCCCTTCCCCCAGGAGGGCACTCGACGCAGCTCAGGGGATAACTTCCAGGGTGGGAGTTATTCGATGACATCAGCGAAAGATCCAGATCGCTACCCGGAAGCGACAGACCCGTGGCAAAGGAACCGAACTCTACCACCTCCACACCCGGCCATAGCTCTAAAACCACTTTCCGGATCTTGTGTAAGGCATCCACCCGCCGCCTCCTCTCTGCTTCGGTCATCTCAAGCCTTGCGGCATACTGCAAGATCTCATAATGAAGCAAAGAAAACGGCTTTTTTCCCTCCATCTGATATCAATCGTTGCTCTCCGAAAGCCAACCTGGAGCAAACGAAGGAAAAGAACACCACAGAAAAACCAGATACAACGTGATCACGACAGCAACCTGCCAAGCATACACTGAGGGCCACAGGGCTGTCCCTGTGCCGCATCCACATCGATTATAAATAGCACAACCTTAGAGTCACAGGGCTATCCCCGTGCCACATCCACATCCACAACCACAGGACGTTACCAAAAAAAAAAAAAAAAAAGAACAGCACCCTGCCAAGCATTAACTGAGGACCGCAGGGCTATACACGTGCCATATCCACATCGACTAGAGAAACTGCCATGCATCAGCAATCGACAGAAACAGCCAACAAATTCCATTCTACTATTGCATCCCATAACCATTGAGAAACAGTCCTGTGCAGCATACAAATCAATAACCGAGAGACCTGTACAAAGGGCCTCACTCCACTACTCTCAACATGCACAAAAGACAAAAACCATGGCTGTAAGGACCTGCCCAAACACAGACTGAGAACACAGCTCATTTCTGAGTTGTGCCGCTGGAATGAATGCCTTGCCGAGATTCCTGCTTTCAGCTGAGTTTTGTAAGTTTGTGTGTGTGCGTGCTTGCTGGTCTGCGTGCCTGTCTGAGTGCTTGACGGCTTGAGTGTGTGACCCGCAAGGGTACATGCTTGCTTGGGAGGCCCGTAGGGCGGTACTTACCTGTGGCCGTGACATTGAGGAAGTGGTGAAAATAGGCCCGCAACACTCAGAGCAGCGGGGAAAAACACTAAAGTAGCAGGTAGGCCGGTACCACACCAAGTAGCGGTAGATGTGTCGGGTACTCGAGGCCGAGCAGAAGAAGACAAAAGCTGGCATTTTTAGAGGCCCAGTAGTTGTAGGCTGGGTCTAGGTAGGTAAAAGTCAAAGTAGCCTGAGTCTAGGCCCTGTACTGGGGATATCAGAGTCTGCAATGATGTTTCCCTCCGAAAGGGAGGAGGTACCGGTTGCTTGCAGGCCACACGGCCTGGAAGTCACCGCCCAAGAGGCAAATTGGCCGCTGTATCTCCAGGAGGAGCGAAGTGCTCCTCATTTGCTGCGTGCCAGTTTGGCGACACGCTGCTGGAGCGCTGGCTGGCGCAGCGCTGGTTGGAGCCGCGCTGTGGGGAAGAGGAACGCCCCAGCTCCCCACCCTGACTATGGTGGAGAAGATCAGGTAGGTCGGGGACTACATGCTGCGCCTGCAACAGGCTGCACGGGCCACTTTCAGGCCCATGACGTTTTCAGGCCATACAGGCCCCGTGTCGTTTCAGTCTGAAAGCCTGAAAACAAGGGCCTACAGGCCCTGTGTCGTTTCAGCCTAAATCAGGGCATTTCCGGCCCTGAGTCTTTTCAGCCTGAAACTGAGGGCCATTTTCAGGCCCTCATAAGATCGACCTGCCCTGAAACTCAGGCACCAGACCAGGGTTTTAGCACAGGCTATTTTGGGCCTGTTTTGAAGACAACCCTTGGTTGAGCTTCAACGCCAGGGTCAGGCACGTTTCGGCATTGGCAAGAGCAGCCTCCTGGACGGGCCAACACTGTATAGGACTGGCCCGCCCTGCAGGCTGCAGGTAGTTCCTAGGTACTCCCCAGGCACTTCACGTGCAGTTCAGGAGGCAGGAGGTAGTCTTCAAGATTCGGCAGCAGCACTCTGGAGGAGCGCTGCAGTAGTAGTAGCAGTAGCAGTAGTCTTCAGCACTGGGGTAGCAGTAGTCTACAGCGCTGCGCGCTAATAGGAGCTAGAGTAGTACTAGCGAGAGAGAGATTGGGCGGAGTCTTCACAGGTTAGTACCTGTCACATGAGTTAGAGAGAGAGTTCTTCTTCTTCCTCTTCTCAGTCCACCATCTCCCTCTCACCCTCTCGCTATCTGACTTAACTGCATCAGCAGACTATGAGAGAGCCGGCTTGGTGACATTTGGATCCAGACTCGACATTGGACTTCAGACATTTGACGAGGGGTTATCTGGGACTTGTAACGAAGAGTTGGTGTTGACGACATTCCCATCTTCCCCCCTTCCTCTTCGTCTGATCCCCTCCTCTTCGTCTGTGTATGGTTTGGACCTGGCGCATTCTTCCTGTGTGTAACGCCAGGCCCCTTCACACCTTGTGATGAGGATGATGTATGTCTGGTCTGTACTGCGACATTGATTGGGCTAGTCATTGGTATTCTAGCATTCTGCTACGCTGTCTTGCACTACGTGAGAGAGGTCAGTCCCGGTCAGGTCAGGGTTTATATCTAAGTCTTCCACTGCGCTACAAAGCACCATTTTTGTATGAATCAGGATGTACACTGCTTGTTGAGATTTCACTAGCACTGCATTGTCCATTCAGTCCTTTTCATCACATTGCGGATCCTCGGTAATATATGTACGTCTCCCAACTGGGCATGTAACATAGGAGGAGGAGGAGGAAGAAGGGACTAGGACAGGAGAGCGCCAGGGGTACTTAACGGACTACGGTGAACGCCATCTTCATCTTGATGTTGTCTTTTGAACGCCAAAGTGAGGCCCTAGTAGTCCGCCATAGCCTCAGCCTATGAAGAGGAAGGAGAGGGAGGTGGCCATGGCTATGGTGAACCTCAAGTTGCGCCGGCAGTAGAAGAGGGGTTCGGACATTGATTCTGGTTCTGCCATTCATCATTATTATTACTAGATGACCCGTTGCAGCTTCGCCCGCAAAAATAGAGAATGAAAATTGGCAAAAGAATGAAAATGAAAATGGAACATGCTGTCATTTGATGGTTCTTTCACAAAAAGACAAAAAAGGGCTGAAAGAAGGCAAGCCGTAGTGGACAATGCGCGATACACTGATTTTCTGTATTGCAAAGGCTAAAAAAAAGTACTGCACGGTCCTTTGGTCCATATCCATTATGTGGAATGGTAACCCGGTATCATGCACGTAGAGCACACTGATCATGCACGTAGAGCACACTGATCATGCGCGCAGAGCACTGATCATGCACGTAGAGCACACTGATCATGCACGTAGAGCACACTGATCATGCACGCAGAGAACAGTGATCATGCACGTAGAACGCAGTGATCATGCAACCGACCGCCGAGCACGAATCCACAGAGAGCAAGTGAGAGAGCACGAAAAGCATGGATCGACGATGAGCACAAAAAGCACGGATTCACGATGAGCACGAAAAGCACGGATCGACGATGAGCATGAAAAGCACGTGTCCACAATGAGCATGAACATCCAGCGACCAAAAGCACGGATCGAAGATGAGCATGTTAACATGCACCGAAGTTCTCGCACGGATCTACGATAAGCAGGTGAGCAAAACCACGGATCCACAGTCAGCACGTCACCAAAAGCACGGATCCACATTGAGCAGGTCACCGAAAGCACGATCCACGATGAGCATGTGGTCGTGCTCCGAAGAAAAGCAGGAATCCTCGATGAGCACCAATGGAGAGAAGACAATGAGCACCAATGCGAGAGAAGACGATGAGCACAAAAAGCACGAATCCAAGCACGGATCAATGATGAGAATGAATCCAAGCACGGATCCACGATGGGCACCGACCGCCAAAGATGAGCACAAAGTCCTCGTCGGGCACCAAAGGAGAGCACAGTAAGAGAGAGAGAGAGAGAGAGAGAGAGAGAGAGAGAGAGAGAGAGAGAGAGAGAGAGAGAGAGAGAGAGAGAGAGAGAGAGA